CCATCAGACAAACTTAAAGTCATCCAGCAAACTTTTGAAGAGATCTCCCAGAGTGTTCTGGCATCACTCCAGGAAGACTTCCTGTGGTCCATGGATGACTTGTTTCCTGTTTTCTTATATGTGGTACTGCGGGCCAGGTATCTAAGCTCTTCAACTTCATTATTTATTCTGGAATTATTTGTCATTTTGACAAGTCTGCTCTTTGTTTTTTCTGAACTGGTGATAGCAGTTTGCTCCCACTTCTGTTAACCATTCCACGGTGGCACCGCCTCTGTTCACCATTCCACGGTAGTATCACCTCTGTTCACCATCCTACAGTGGCACTGCCTCTGTTAACCATCCCACGGTGGCACCGCCTCTGTGTTAAGCTAGTCTCTCTCTCTGCCATCAGTGGATTCGAAGGGAGGGTCCACTTGGAAGCAGAACTGATTTGGATCTTTTTACTCTGGAGCAGGATTAGGAATTTGGGCTCTGAAGTACACCTCATTGAGGATCTGATGGACCCCTATCTTCAGCATGGGGAGCAAGGTATAATGTTCACCACCCTGAAGGTGAGTGTATTATTTAAGAACTTTTTTTTTTTTGGTCTTTTTGAGACAGGGTCTCCCTGTAGCCCCAGCTGTCCTGGAACTCATTATGTAGACCAGGCTGGCCTTGAACTCTCAGAGATCTGCCTGCCTCTGCCTCCCAAGTGCTGGGATTAAAGGTGTGTGCCACCACACCCAGGTTTTAATCTTAAAATTGCCCTTCATTTGCCACATTTTTCATTTTCTCCTCACTTTCTTTGCTTTTTGTTTTTGTTTTTGAGGGGACAGTGCTTTGCTGTGGCTTTTGTTTCTGAGATAGGTCTTATTCTGTGAGGGAGCCTGGCCCAGAACTCTCAAAGTTCAGTACAAACATTGACTACCTTAAAAGCACACATTATTGATATTAAAAGCATGGTAATATATTAGGACAAATCAGTTATTCTTCAAAGTACTAATGCAAATTATTCAGTACCTAGTATTCTCTGTAAATCATTCAAGTTATTCAAATCATTTTATTAAATCATCATAAATATTTAAATTTATTAAATATTTATTTTTATTTTTTAACTTTTTATATTGTTATTTTGCTCTTTTTGAGACAGGGTCTCCCTGTAGCCCCAGCCTGGAACTCACTGAGTAGACCAGGCTGGCCTCAAACTTACAGACATCCACCTGCCTCTCCCTCCAGAATGCTGAGAGTAAAGGCGCACACCACCATGCATATAAATAATTACAACTCTAGAAAAGAAACAGAAAGGATTCTTAGCGCACTAAAAAGTGCCAAATAGCAGAACTATTTTAGAGAGCTAAGGTAAGACACAGAAGGCACTACGTAAATAGTGGATCATATTCTGTTGTTTCTTTCCCTCATATTAACTGTCTAAGGAAGTTACAGCGAGGTTCTCTAATCTGGATGCCCTTTAGGGATTGTTAGAAATAATTTTCATTTCCCACTTTGGTTTTTCTTGGAATTTAGAAGAATCACTCTAAATATTATTAGAAGATAGCTAGAAAATGGCAGATTAGGGGCCAGCAAGATGGTTCAGTGGGTAAAGGCGCTGTTCATTTGTTAAGTTGGTCAGTCCTCCCAGTGACCCTGCATCAGATCTTACTGGCTCTCCAGAAAAAAAAAAAACAAGAGGAAAAAGACACATGAGGGGGTTGGGATGATGGCTGTTAAGAGCACTGGCTGCTCTTGCAGACGACCTGGGTTTGGTTCGCTGAGCAGCCTGACAACCTGAATTCAATCCTTGGGATTCACATGGTGGAAAAAAAGGACCAACTCCCAAAAGTTTTCCTCTGACCTCCACAGGTACACAGTGGCACATGTACTAAATCAATAAATGTAATTTTAAAAATTTTAAAGAAAATGGCAGATAAAAAAGACACTTCTAATAAAAGCTAGAGAATAGACCTACCTTACCAGTTAGTAAAATATTATCAAATTTACAATAATTAAGATGAAGTAATGTGTTATGGTCTATGAAAGGAGAGCACCCATATCGACAGCACAATAATAAAATTTTCACATGCAAAATGGGAACATCAAAAATGGAAAATACAGGGGTTGGAGAGATGGCTCAACAGTTAAAAACACTTGCTGTTCTTCAAAAGGACCCAGGTTCTATCCCCAGTACCCACTTGGCAGCTCACAGCCATCTGAAACTCCAGTTCCAGGGGTTCAAACACCCTCTTCTCACCTCTACACACTACACAATACAGGTGCACTTACACATGCAGGCAGTACACTCATACACATAAAATAAAAATAACAAAATATTTAGAAAAAATGGAAAATACAAATTAAAATTAGAGAAATTATTTGATAAATGGCAAAGTATTAGTTTATTAGGAGTTTTGGAAGAGGGGTAGTAAATTATACACTCAGGTTTATAGAAAAAGGAAAGACAGATCATTAAAATAACAAAAAAGTCCTCTAGGATTTAATGTCAGCTTTATAGCTTGAGTTAACCTTTTCAACTTTAAGCATTAATGTTTCTGTTACATACACTGAAAAAGAGAAGAAGCTAGAGAGAACATACTGGCTGCAAATTACTTTACTGGTATTATATGAGAGTACCAAGGGAAAAACTAGTAAGTTTGCATGTAGACAAATGCTTAAGCTCACTCAGAATCATGGTGCTGCAGGTTTAAGCAAGGTTGTACCTAAAATATTAGCCAGACTGCATCCAGTTTTACCCAATGCTGGTGGGTTTGCAGTGAAATCACATTTCCCATGTTGCTGACAGTGGGATAGACAGTGGTTACTCTGCTATGGTACTGACAATTGCTAGAGATGCTAATAACATTGCTGCCAACAACAGCGAAGTGGTGGTGGGGTGTAACTCAGGAACCCTCACTGCACTTTATCCTGAGGAATTGAATTCAGCAGTGGGAAACGTTGTGTATTACCCTGACATGATGTTCATTGTAGTGTATGATTCCAAAACCCCAGTACCTTCAGAGTCCCTGAAGATGACTTTGAGAAATACATTCCTGGAATTCTGACTTGCCAGGTCTGTAGAGACTCTCAGGTTCTGTGCTTATGAACTGTCTTGGGAACCCTGATAACACTTGTCCTTGTAACCTTTACAGTGTCCTGAGGGTCCAGTCGCTAGTGAGTGTTGTCCTGTTTCTGATTGGTAAAGACTATCACAAAGCTTATAGTTTCTTGTTTATTTTAGGACTAGAGGAGACATATATAAAATTTTTACCTATATTAATTGCAATGAGGCTAGATAGAAGACTTGGAGGGAACAGGAAAAAGTGTTAAGCAAATTTGCTAATCAAGGGATTTTCTTTCTTTAGACTCATATGCATTGCTTTTTAAAAAAATGTCATTTCTTTAAAAGTAAATTTGAATTTGAATTTGTTTTGAATTTTTTTTCAGGCATGTTACTACCAGATTCAGCGTGAGAAGCTTAATTAGGGTACATAACAGCTTGAAAACTGGATTAGCTACTGCGGAAGGCTACAGCACCATCCGGAGTCTTTATGGTGGAGAAAAAGAATGGTGTGGAGATTGGAAAGGACTTGTGTTATTTTTGTTAGTAATTTTTGAGCCTTACTAATAATTAGAGCCCTGAGTCCAGGTTTTTAAAAACAAAAAACAAAACAAAACTGTGCAGTTTAAATGAAGATGGAAAAGGAAGTAAAATCAGATTAAACCAGGCTCTGGTCTGTGCTGAGTTCTCAATATTCCATACACCTGCTACTTAGAAAAAGAGGCTGCTCTTTCAACAGTAAAATGTGTCCCCTACATGAATTTGCAAGAAAATTTCCAAGCACAGCTTCTTATATTAAAGAAACTGATAAGCAGGTGTGGTGGCACACGCCTTTAATCCCAGCACTGGGTAGGCAGCAGCAGGTAGATCTCTGTGAGATCAAGGTGAGCCTGGTCTTCATAATGAGTTCAAGGCCAAATGGGTTTACAACAAAAAAAAACAAAAACAAACAAACAAACAAATAAAAACCAGAAACAAGCTAGTGAATATTTCCAAGTTTCTGGTTTGCCTGAACCCATCTGCTCTTACCCAGGTCCCTTGGCAAGGCAGGCTGAACCAGAAGCTGTAGTAGCCATCTCTTGCCTTCCTAGACCCATCACCCACACATGCAGCATGCTGCTTTGCTGGTGGGTGAGAATGGAGAAGAATTTTTAAACTGCAGTTTTAACTTTTTCTAAGTTTTTCCACCAGGGTATTTGTGGTGGGAGAGGCTCTATGCAGTGACTGCCATATCCTGCTGTCAAACATGGAATGCATCCAATCAGGAGTCTTCTGCCTCCTGGTTAAAAAGAACATAGGAATTTTATTTCTGGTCTTCTCGCTGTACTTCAGAAAGTGAACACACTGGAATTCAAACACTGACTCTGAGCTGCCACGAAGTCTCACTGGTCCATGAGCCTCATGGGTTTGCACGCAATGCCACTGAGGCAGCCCATGAGCTTCTGTGTGCAGGCTGGGGAGTTGAGTGGGGACTGAAGAAAAATACAGAAGCAGCCATCCCCAGCCTAGTGTTGTGCTTCTTCCCTGTCCCCCTCACTGAACTCAGATGGGAAGAAGGAGGTATAAGCTTTGGCTTTTCCCATTGCAAAAGTATTGTGGCAGCTCAGCATTTTAGCATTCGGCTTTTTCAAAACGTCCTGTCGTAGTTGATGGTTTACACTCTACCTGTAGCACTAGTAGTCTTTTGGGTAACAGGTGCTCTTCCTTGGCTCATCTCTAGTACACCTGGAGCACATCGTGTCCTGATTTATGTGAAATGACTCAGCAGATGTTCATTACTTTTGAAAAGGATCATGGTTTCTGCTCTACTTTATAATCAAGACAAGTGTTAAAATACTGTTTCGGAATGTTGACTGTTATGTAATAGCAGTTTTCATAATAAAAAACATGGTCTTTGTAAAGTTTTCTCATGACTGTAGAAGAAATGACTTAGGGAAGACAAAAAATTAAAGGAAGCCCAAGATTAACAGGGTTCCCCCCCCCCACTATTTTAATCCATGTCTTTGAACTCAGAGGGCCCTCTTGGTTTTAGAACCTCTTCCTTTTTTTTTACATCTTTT